GTTCCATATTTTTGTGACGTCAAAGGAGTCGTTGGATAGGATTTTTGGATTAGAGGAAGGGGGACAAGAAAAATTACTGAAAAAATGGATAGTCCGAGACCGAGATTTGAACCTGGGACCTTTCGATTATGCATGATTGATTTTTTTTTTTACAGTTTTTTTCTTACAGAATTTTCACGTTCACATTTGTTCATTTTTTCAGCTTCGGTCCTCAGTCGTGAGTAGCCCCACGGTTAAACCAGCGCCAATAGGCTCTTCAATAGGTTATAGTGGCCGAAATTGTACGTTCGTGGCATTTCATTCTGAAGATGATCAGGCGTTAGCTTCGATAGACGTGCAAATTTTGGAGCGAAACTTGTGTCGATCAGTGCTTGGAGTGAATATACCTGAGAAGCAAGCGTGCTTTGATGATTCATCCGTGCCTTCAAGCATCACCGAGGTATGTATGAACATGATCTGAGGACCTATTAATATACAAATAAATTACTTCCCCTAATTAATTTCATTTTGCCGAGTACATTTTTTTTTTACTGCAGGACGACTATGGCGGTCCAATCCTTTGCGATGGAACTGTGATTGGAATTATGATCGACTATCATATGACTGGTAGAACACCACGTGTGCCACAACGCATGAGCAATTTCACTATGTTTGACCAATTACCTGATCCGGGCTCATTACTCTATCAAGCAGCAGTCAGGAGATAAAATCTTATTATATATTCTTATGATTACACCGAATTCAATCCCGTGAAATTTTTGGCGAATGCTATTTTAACTATCATAAAATGATCGATCTATCGCTGAGCTCTTCGCCATATTGTCGATATCGATTTTTGCGTTTGCTCATGTTTAGGTTACGCTAATATGACGAAGAGCTAGGGATGGATCGGCCATCTTATAGTATCTCGAACAACGTTTTGCCAAAGTTCCATGGTGTGCGATCAAGAAAAAATTTATTATTCTTAAAACACTACCGTGATAAGCACCCGAACTATTTTCCACCTCACGTTTGAAGTATTCAATGAAATCTCGGCACCAACATATGATATGTCTTTGTAACAGAAAAAATATAACCTATTATAACTTGATGGAAATTCAACTGAATCATAATAATCTTAAAATATTAACTTCATTTATTGAGATTAAAGTTCATGTCTACAATAACATGGCTTTCCTATATCGAATATTTAACTCTGTATTCATTGTACTTTTGATAACAAAATTAATCGGATAGGATTTATCCCTTGGTTGGACGCTTGCCCCCCTTTACTCTCCCTTTAACAGGAATCTGAGAAGTTGATCCACAAGCTTCACAGGAGCACGCCGTAGGTACGGATATTCTGACAGTTCCTGTACGTCCATCAGAACATTCCAACTGCACAACGATCTGCTTGAAGGCTTTCGGTTGACAACAGTGACAAAGACTCTGCTGATACCAGTTAGGACGACTGAATTTGACCTCAGTGTCGCAAGCACCCCGGCACTCAGTGTACTCAGCAATTTCTGCTTTATTCGTGCATAGCCCATAAGGTCCATATTCCTGTACCTTTCCAACTGTTAAACGAGACTCAAGAACCTCCGCCGCACATTCCACTTTACTCTCGATGGTTGGCTTACACCTCTTGCAGCATCCATCCGTGTAAATATTCTCTTCAGCACAATTCTGAATATCTGGACACGTTGGAGCACTGGAAACCATCATCAATTGATCATCTTTGACTTTGCACTCATAGGTCCAGCAGTTGTCTTCAGACTTCCAGATGCTATTCGGCTGGTGCAGAACTTCGTTGTCAATGCAATAAGCTTGTTTGCAGCTTCCGCAGCACTCACCGTCCACAGGAGTTCGATATTCCCAACCAAATGTACAGCTATCGTTGCATCTTTGATGACTCTCCTTGATCCTCAAACCATTTTCCGTCTCTTTGCATTCGAACTTCGCACAGATGTCTCGAGAACTCCAGAATGCCCCGGGTTCATGGAGAATGCCATTTTCAACGCAGTGAGTTTGTTTGCACGTCCCACAACATTCTCCAGTCTTTGGAGGCATGTACTTCCAACCAAGATCGCAAGTTTCGTTGCATCTCTGACGGAATTTCTCTAATTGAATCTGTTCGTTACTTGCGGCGCAAGTTAATGTGAGGCAAGCATCGTCAGGTGTCTTCACAGTCTCACCAAGATAATGAACAGTTCCATTTACTTTGCAGGCAGTTCTTGTGGGCTTTGGACAGCACACCTTTGGAATTCGTTGCCATAGAATTTCGTAATTCTCTTCCTCCGTCGGATTGATGTTCTCACAAAATGTTACTGATTCCTTCACTCTCAATTTACCGTTCTCCAAGATGCAGGTGTAATTCGTACAAAAATCAACAGACTGCCATTCTTCATTAATATTTTTAGATGTACCTTCGAAGATGCAAACAATAGGAACACAGGAACCGCAGCATTGTTTCCCAGGATCTGCAGGGGATCTATATTCATACCCCTCATCGCATTCCTTTTTGCATTCTCTCGTTGTTATTGTTTTCTGGATTCCCTTTGTTGTATTTTCACATTTCTCGAGGTGACAAGCATCATTCCCATCAGGCTGCCAAGTGCTTCCAATTTCGTAAACCATTTGACCAGCCTTACAAGCAATTCTTTGATACTGCGGACAACACTCACCTATTTCTAACAGCGCCAGAATATAATCGTCATGATCGGGATGTGTCTCGGGCTTGTCACATGATTTCGTTGTGCAATGAGACTGAGGAGTTCCGTGATTGAATTCACACGTACATTCACTGCATAAACCCTCAGTCCAAACCTCGCCGATCTTCTTGGGGATGATAGTCGTGTTCCCATCGTTCACCAGTTCTGTATCATTGTCAGATATCATCGAGTAAAGACAAAGATCATCCGGAGGAAGACATTCGTAAGTAGGACAGCATGCATCTGAATAGTTTTTACTCTTGACAGTGTAATATTCTGGACAATTTTCTGATGGGCATGTTTCTGGGCTACAGTAGCTTTCTTTCCTGGGACAACAACCAGAAGTATTGATAGACCAAATATACCCAGGTTGCAGTGTTTCAGCATCAGCCGTTGTTTCATTATCAATCAGGGGACAGTCCTCCGGAGGTAGGCACTCGCAAATGAACTTGGAACAACCATCAGGGCCCTTAGTTAGCTTCATAATCTGTCCATAAGCACATTCCAAGGTTTGGGGTTCTAGACAAGTCGGTGGAACAGTTGGAACAGGTGCACATCTGTATTTGTTACAACATTCATCTGCAGAGGTTTCCACTAAAATTGGTGTATAATTCTCTTCACAAATTGTTTCAATCGACGGACACTCTGTAGTCTTGCATTTGAGATTCTTCCCATCACAAGAACAAGTTGTGCATTTGTCTGGATGCCAAATATCTCCGTCTACGTGACCTTGATCGTCACAGGTGAAGCAATTTTTCGTGGCCATGCAGGTGCCATTGTGCCATACATGATCTTCAGGACAGAAACATCCTTCAGTCAGAGTGTATGAGCATGCCTGTTTCTCGATGGCACTGAGGGTATCACAAGTTTCGAAACAACTTGATTCACATGCTCGGTATACTAAATCTTCTTTGCATGTGAAAGGACAGATATTGGATGTCCTCCAGTCGGTGCAGAAGCCAGCCTCTCTGCAAGCTCCAGCATATCTTTCAAAATCCCCACAAGTCTCACCATTTTCACAAAGAGTATTGTGACAAGAATCCAGGTAAGGCATAGGATCAATGAGTTTATGACACTGACCAAATATTTCTCGATTCAATAATGTCATGCAGATGTCCTCTGGGGCTGGTGGTGGTAGGCACGGCTTTGGTGGTTGACTCAAGCATGTCGTCTCATCCAGGATTCGTACCGTTGGTAATCCTGTGGCTAACCAGCTCATTCCAAAGTCATCTACATTCTCTGTCATTTCTCCATTCTTCATTTTGAAATCATCGTCAGCATCTGCATTGCAATTTCCACACAAACCCTCAACGGCTTCACCAAATATGTGAGAAGGCAATCGAATATTGAACGCGAAATTGTGTTCGTAAATCGTAATTTCTAATTTTATGGAGAAGATGAGAATTTTTATATCTTTTTGTGAAACTCTTTCGATATTCATCCAAGAATTTTTCACTGGTAGTTTATCAATCGGTGTGCCATCCAGTGTGACCAGAGGTTCTTCATGGTTTTTATTTTGTTTAGCTTCCAGAAAATGGCCTTTGTAGATGACTGTCAATGTTTCAGTGCAGATTCCTCGTTCACAAGCCACATTCGTCATCAATATCTGATATGTATGTTGTTCAGGTTGCTGTTGTGAGCCAGTTTTAACACCCTCCACATTCGGATTAATGATGTCTTGGGACAAGATGTAGGTACAATTCCCAGCGAACGTAAAGTTCCTTCTATCGAAAGTCATGAAATTTGTATTCCCAAAGCCGTCGCACGCACAGTCACGACATTCCGTGGGTGCTATACACTCTTCACCATGTCTGACAAGTCCATCCGGACAGAAACATCCGGGGAAGCATACCTTCGGTATATAGGGACAAGGCTCGATCTCCTGAAGATTGTCACAGCTCTCTTCGCACTCATTCCTGAAACAATCTTTGTAGATAAGTGGAGCTGGGCAATGCATTGGGCAATTATAAATATCTCTCCAGCTGGATAAATCGATACTCTCTTCTGCTGCTTGGCAGTCAGTGGTGAAAGCAGTCAATGAGCGACATCTGCATTCTTCTGTTGTACTATTCGAGTTGATGCACATGCACGTGGACTCAACGCATTTGGCAATCAAGTTCTTTACGTTGAGAACATTTAGACATGATTGGAATGATTTATCGTGAATCGTACTGCAGATTTCTTTGGCTTGGGCGTACATTTCCTTGGAACAACCTTGAGTATCACATTCTGGAGTTCCATCCATCACCCAGCTGTCTCCAAAGACGTCAGTAGTCTTCGCTTGGATTCCATCAGGCGTCTGCTTATCATTTTTCATGTTCCCATCGAAGTATCCACAGAGGCCATCAATACGACCTTTCAATCTTGGATTGACTCCAATACATACCGAGTCTTCATTGAAAACCACAAAGAATCGGTACTTCTGCGATGAAAAATTGATCTTATTCCCCACTAAGAACACTCTGAATTTCCCTTTGATGTCCTGATAATGCTTTATCTGGTGAGAAGTGAAAGTGTATTCATTGATCTCCACTGATCTGTTCGGATAGAGTACAATGACATCATCATCTAGGACAATAGCTACAACTTTGGTGCACGGTTTCTTCGGTACATCGCAGTGATTCTCCAGAGTTATATACCATTTATTGAAGTACATATCTCTAGCTAGAATGTGATTGCAAATATCGTACTTGTACTCTAACTTATCGAATGTCGTGAACATCTTGCCATCAACATGACAAACAACATCAGGCTGACGAGGAGGCTGACATCTCCACCTCGGACATGGCTGAGGATTATACATACTCTGGGGTTCGAATACCATCCGATGATTTGGTGGACACTCCGGCTTGGGACAATCCTCACGAGTTTTTCCACCAGGATGTGTTGGAAACACCTTGGGCACACACGAGTACTCTTTACAGTCTTCAGCTTCCTGAATATTCAAATCATTTATCCTCGGTTGTTTAGCCACTCGGGGGTACGTCTTGACTCCTTTCACTGGAGCAAATCCTTTCAGTGGAGCAAATCCTCTCACTTGAAATTGTTTTCTCTTATTACCACCAAAAAATGGTGGCGGTGGTCTAGTGGGTCTGCCCTTTTTAGAAGACCCCTTCACCGGGACTAATGTAAATTTCGGTGGACATGTAGGAACTTCACATGTTGTTACAGCCGTTACGTTTTTCTCTGCAGTGGTATTCGTTGTGGTGACCGTTTTATTAGAAATCACTTCAAGCACATCTGGTCTTTGAGTGGTACATCCTGTTTCGTCGTCAGAGCAATCCTTCACTCCATTGCACCAGAGCGACTCATCGATACAGATATTGCTTGTCCTACAGAGTCTCTGGCCCTCTGGACAAGGTTTACAGATGCATCCACATAATTCGGTAACGTAAGTCTTCATCGTTGGATCCTCGCACGACTCGCAAGACTTCTTCCTGCACTCTGGAATTCCTCCCAAAGTGCATGTACATTTATCACATTCATCTGTCTCGTATATCGAACCCACTCTGTAAGGAATTCCTTTGATCATGCAGGGGCAGTATTTCTTCTCGACACAACTGACTCCATCCCAAAAGAACGGTTTTTCACATTTGCAGTCTCTAGAGTCTTCGAGAACTCCTCGACACACATTACAAGGATTTTCAACGATTTTTGGAAGAGATGTTGTTGGAATGGGGTACGGCACGTAGCATCCATGGACTTCTACCTTCATACCCACGTGATTGTGCCACTTGACAGGTTGAATCTTCAAGTACTGAGCGTTAATGGGATACTCAAAGTAATTCGTCTTGGACGTCACATCATCGAAATTACCCAAGAACACCTTCTCTTCGCCTTTATCATCAACAATTGGATTCCACTCCCGTGAATTCGTACCATAAGAGACTTTATATGCAGTTGTCCAGATATCATCAGCTCCTTTAGTCTCCACTCCAGTTAAATTTCGATTCTCACGGAAATTGAATTCGATGAATTGATGGGGATTGTCCAATTGTGGTCTCCAGATGCCAGGGGAGGACAAACTGAGACTTGGAATCAGGGAATCTAGATACGAAGACGCAGTGACTTGTTCTTCTATCATAATTCCATTGTCAAGTCCCATTGGATCATCGCACATCGGCTCGGGACTTGTTACTTCGTAGACTGGAGTCGCTGTGGGAATCATCGTTGTAGCTTCAGTCATGTCTTGACATCCCAAGACACCGACTCTCATTGATATTCCTCCCTCCCAAGATTGGGGATTAATTCGGATGAACTTGGCTTCAATAGGCTGACGGAACATTTGGGTGACTGGTACGAAAGCGTCAATCGGTCCTTTGAACTGATCTGAAAGGTATGAGAACGTACGACCATCCTTGGAGAACAGAACCTCATAACTCGTTACATATCGATCCTTATCAGGATTTCCTTGAACTGTAAGTCCATAGATTAGCTCTGTCTGTGTCAGTTTAATATCGAGGAATTGTTCATCGTCTTGAAGTGATGGTTCCCAATATTCATCAAGAGATAATGGTTTGATTGTCCCTTCAATCGATGACTTCGCTGGTAAATCATTCGTAGAATCGACAATGATATTTCCTAATAGATTTTTGTACTTTCCACTAGCGCAAGGCTCAGGAGGTGTTGCAGTATCTGGCACAATAGTCGTGGATTCTTCAATCAGAGGACGAGACGAACTCTGAGTTGGTGTCACCTGTGTTACAATTTCAGTAGCACAAATCGATGAATCACAGCTGTAGTAATTATTGACACACTGGCAGACTTCACATTGCGATTCCTGAACCACAACTCCTGGCTTGATGGAACTTCCATTGTGAGATCTGCAAGGACAATCTTGGGGTTCAACACAAGTCACAGCATCTCTCCAAACTTTATCTGAAGAACAGGTTTTTCCTTCTTCAACACATCCAGCAATGCACTCAGAGCCATTACCACAGAGTCTTTCATCAATTAAAAGATGATGGAACATGTCACATGTTTGGCGACAATCAATGGCACATACTTTGAATTCCTCTCCTGGTTTACAAGGATTGGGAGATTCTGTTGTAGTTATTGATCTGCATTCGGGACGGAATAACGCAACAGTCTGAGGCCAATCACACGTTTTTGATTGTGTATTGTAGTACATTGTTGATCCACACGTCTTCTTTACCAATTTATTACCATTTGGAGTCGGCATGCATTCGTAGAATACTGAGCAGTCTTGAAGTGAGAATGTAGTAGTGTCTAGCTTACACTCATCTCTAGGATCATTCGTTACTGGTTCGGAAGTCGTTGTTGTTGTTGATGACTCAGTAGTATCATCATCGCATCGACAAAGAATACTAATCTCGAAGTCCGGACAGATTTCATTCCTTTCAGCTGTGCAATAGAGTCCTCGTTCAAGACTGCACTCCACGTCGAGGCCAGTATCTTTAGGTGTTAGATGTTCATCAACGGTTCTACATCTGATATCGACCATAAAACTCCGCTCACAGCGTGACGAGTTTTTCAATGTAAATAGCTCAATCATTGATGGAAGTGGTTCAATATCCATTGATGTCTCAGATCCTTTAATTCGACCTTTTACCATATGTTTTATCGGACTTTTCTCAATCGGTACTCTTTTTGGAGAATGTCTATTCAACCAATTTGTCCATCCACTGACACATTTTCCAGGTTGGATCATAGGAATTGTGGTGGGTTCCACTGTAGTACAAGGTGCGCCATTACAAATTACTTTACCTCTACTGCAGAAGCAGGTCTGACAAGAGTCACTGCTGATGATATCACCCTCGTAATAAACACTGTTGTTTCTCTCCAGACAAATGGGTTTGCAGTCAGACCGAGGAACACAATCATGGAAACTGCTATTCCTCCAGACCTGTCCATCAGGGCACGACTTCATCAGACATCCTTCAATGCAGGTATCCGCGACACATAAACGAGATCCATCTCGAAGATGGGACAGGTGATCGCAGGTCTCCGTTTGACATGTGGAGATGCAAGGGGAGTAACTACTGCACTTCTCGTCACACTGCATGGGACAGAGTTCTTGAGATCTCCATTTCACTGGAACTCCCCTACGATTACATTCATGAGCATAAGCTGCGAGGGATGTGCAGAGACATTCACAATCGCCTCCGCCATTGCAACCACATGTATCGAAGATACAGCGTTCGATGTAGGGCTCGATATCGACTTCAGAGTGACAGGACTGAAATAAAGAGCTCTTGAGAACTCCGCATTTATCAATCGCCCAGGTTTTTCTCTCTGGATGCAGGGTACAGGTATCACTGATATCCTTTGGCTCCGGACAGTAGTTATCTTTCTTCCAAGAGTCTCCAAAGATCCTTGGAGAGGCTTCCGAGATTCCACCGGACGGAGTCTTGAAATCATCCTCACTGTTGTCGTTGTAGTCTCCACAAAGACCTCTAGTCTTCGTCTTCCACTTGGGCTCTAGCTTCACGTAGATTCGTGTTCCTTTATCCCATTGGAGAGTCAATCCTAAATCAGGTACGTTTAAGAATACAAATTGTCCAGCTTCTCTCGTTACGATTCTCTGGAAATTTCCACTGGGTAGAGCGTTTCCTCTGGTCAAAATAATCTTCTCCTGTTTATTTCCATTGCCAACCGTCAGTGTCACTGATTTTGAACAGGCAACGCCAGAAGTTCCACAGGGAACATTTTGTGTGGAAATCTCGAAACAATCGTCCCCACCTAAACTCGATTTCACAAGTACGTAATCACAAATTCCCTGGAAATCGTATGTTCTATCGTCAAATGTTTTGTAATGAGAGTCACCCCAGGCTGAACAAACTCCAGAACAAATTCTCTCGGAGCACTTCCAATTTCCTCTTTCACATCTACAAGTATTGCATTCCTCCTGCATCGTTGAATTATCTTTGTAGCTTCGACCTCCATGATAACACGGACAGTTTTCCATCATGACGCATTCATTGGTCACCGAATCAAGAACATATCCATCCTTGCAGATACATCCAGGAAGACAGATGGTAGGACTCTGATTCACAGGTTCGTGCATATTTCTACAAGTTCTAGGCTCCACAGGTTCACAAGTGGTTGCCACTTGATTCTTCGTCGCACTGCATACGTTGTTCAAGGTTATTGGAGGAAACTCTTCAATCTCTTCTTTAGTTGCGGATTTGCAGTTCCACAAACCTCCGAAGCAGGTGCACAGATCTTGACTCGTCCTTCCAGGTCGGATCTCCTTGTGGCCGGCTTTGAATTCCATTCCATTGAAGGTGCACGGACACTGGCCAATGGGAATGCACTCACCATATGCATTGATAGTTTGTCCCTCAGGACAATTGCACCCCTCAACGCATTCTTGACGACAGCCCTCGTTGAAGGAGATATCGCTGCAGGATCGTGTGCAGCTGTTGCCACATATCTGGTACTCCTGGTCTGGTGGACAGTGCAACTGGCATTCCTCAACTTCCATTCGCCAGAGAATCTTTACATCATTTGCTGCACACTCTTTTGCATAAGCTGCAAGTGTTGGACAGAGGCAATGAGTGATTGTGTCCTCGCAGGCGCACATGTCGTATTTGCAGTCCTTGTAAAAAGTGTCTGGATCCACGTGCCAGTGACAAGATGCAAATAGATCACTCCAAATCCTTGAGCAGTGCTTCTCAGCCGTTGCTAGACGCTCTGGATTCGCATCGCAGGGATGAGAGAAGTCCTTCTGAGGAATATCCTCACACTGTTCCGTTACCTTCCACTTATTCGCAAAGTCAACGACGGATTGCTCTACATCTCCAAAAGGAGTTAAGAAGTCGTTCCGCTGATTTCCAGTGAAGGTTCCGCAAAGACCCTTTGTCTTTCCTTGAAATTCTGGTGGGGCATTCACATAGACTCGGGATACACCGTCCCACCATATCTCCAGACCGTTCGCCAGTTCTGCAACTACAAAGATGCTGCTGGCCATCCTGATCTTTACACCAGAAGTGGAAATAGGAAGTTTGGGTACATCTTTGTCATCGATGGTAATTCTGCGATTCTGTTGAAGAGAGATTACCGCAGTGGATAGACGAATGGTGACGGATTTGGTACACGATGGAAGCTCGGACGAATTTTCTCGAGAGAAGCCCATGGCCTGTAACAAGTAGGAAATTGTTCTCATATCGCTTATCATGTAGTTATCTTTGCTAATTAATTAACAATATACTCTCAAATGCTGACACTTTAAATTATAGAGATTACCTCAGATATTGCTCCGGAGCAGGCAACATTCTCCGTTTCAATGCTGTAATTGTCACCCTTTACCAAGTAATAACCGCACTTTCCCATGAAATCATAATGTTTTCCATCAAAGGTCACATAATGAGGATCTCCTACTGCAGCGCATCTTGCCTCGCATGCTACTTGAGTACAGGTCCATTTACCAGCGACACAGGTGCAGGTATTGCACTGTTTGGGGATGACTGCCCCAGGTTGGAAGACTTTACCTCGTAATCTGCAAGGACACTCCTCCACAGAAATGCAGTTGCCCTCGTGAAGAACAGTCCCTTCAGGACAGAAGCATCCTTCCTCGCATTCAAGTTCATCGACATTCCCTTTTGAGGCAGCATCGTCATTGCAAGACGACTGATACTGAGGTCCACATGATTTATAGATCTTGCCGTCACCACAACGCATTGGACAAATCTCTTCCTTCCTCCAAACAACTGACTTGATAATTCCATCGTGATAGCATTGCCTAACATATACACTCATCGTGTCACAGGCGCAGCTGCTTCTATCAGCATTTTTGCAGCCGCAAAAATCCCAGAGACAAGTCGCCTTCAACGATCCCAAGTCAACGATCTTAGAGCAGTCTTGGAATTTCGTATCTGAAAATAATTTCTCACAGAATATCTCAGCCTCTCCTCGGAGAATCAAATCATTCCCACAAGAATGCTCATTATGCTCATAATCATCACACATCTCTCCAATATTGTCGGCCTTCCAATCAGCGGTGAATGCAGCAACTGTCATGTGATGATTTCTATCTCGACCAGTTCTATCATCTCGGGCATCTCCATTCATTCTTCCACATAGTCCAGCAGTTCTATCCCACAATGATTCAGATGCTTTGACTTGGACGAATAATCCACCGTCCCATTTTATGCTAGCACCTACAGAATCTAAAGAGATTATGACAAAGTGGGCGGACATTTGAACTCTTATTCCTGTCAATTGTGCCGGGATTGGCAAGAGTTTCTTGACAGTTCTGAACATTGGGTTTCCGAATTCGTTCAGAGTTATCATGAATTCCTTGCCTTCGAGAAAGATTTTGATAATTTTGTGACAAGCTCCTCCATTATGACATCCTAAACTGTTTTGAATAATTACAGTGACAATTCCATCCTGACTGTCTTGAAGGAGGATGTAAGGGCAGTTACTCGAGAAGCTGTAGATTGCACCGTCGAAGGTTTTGTAGTGACTCCCACCCCAGGTGAAACATGTTTTTGCTTCTGGTCTCTTCACATCCACTTCGGAGGAAGAATTCGCGAATGGTTGATAGATGTCTGGGACTGTATCCTCAGGATCCTGATGGACTTCATAATGCCCACCTTTGACAGCTCCACTTTTAACTTCACCTTTAATTTTTCCTTGTCCAAGTTTCTTGAAACCACTTATCACGTCTTCTCCCCACATCATCCTAGACTGTGATCTCTCCAGTCGCCAGAAGTGATTAGTAGTTTTTACGTAAGAGTTCTTTGAAGATCCTATTGTAATAATCTCACTTCCAGGTTTGGTTTGGCACTGAGGAACGGGTTGTGGCTCAAATACCCCAGTATCGTATTTGCAGATGTACTCAGCAGCTGGTGGAGATGAGAATTCAATACCTTCTGGACAATTGAGGGTACATGAGTAGGAGTATGTGTCTCCGTGACACTGGTATCCACCGTTGAACCCCAGTTTTCCAATGTTGCAGTGATCGACGTGAAACTGGCAGCTCTCACCCCGGAAGTCTTGGGGGCATTGACAGGTGTTCAGGGCTAAGCAGATACCACCGTTTTTACAAGGGGGAGAGCATACGGGAATACAATCCGGAATTGAGGGCCAGTCGGATCTAGATGGCACCCAGTTTCCTTCTCGGCAGTTTATGTTTGAGACTGATGAACCATCTGGGAAGGTGAAACCATCCATGCAAGATACCGTACATGTTCTGAAAAAAATTGTTCGTGAATTTTTTTTTTCTCGACTTGAATTATATTTCTCCTTAATTACAAATTAATATTAAAAATAAACAGCCCAGGAGATGAATGTCGACTCACTGTTCGTTGCATCGTCGTCTAGAATTTTGGACAGCCGGTGGAAGATTCAAACAGGGTCTAGTCTCAAATTGGCATTGAGGTCCCGAGAAATTCTCCGGACACTCGCATTGATTAGGACCGATGCAAATGCCATTGTTTAAACATGCGGGAAGACAAAATGCTAAACAAAAAACCAAAACCTTGTGTAACTTAACAAAATCGATGATTTCAATGTTGCATTTAATAATCCATTTTTACACATCAATATTGCTGTGATTATTCTTATTATTCTTATTGTTATTAGTGTTGTTGTTTAATTAAAACTTACGTTGACAATCAGGAACAATAGACCCGTCCGTGTCCGGTATTTTCCACTTGCCATCCTGACACGTAATGAGCAACGTCTCAGCTCCATTTGGAAATTGATGATAATTATTACAGGTCGCAAAACACTTCCTAATTCCATAAATCAAGAAATATAATTAAACAAAATGTCTCTTGAATGTTATCCTCATGATTTATTTATATTCACCCCGTCTGCAAAGGAATAGTTCAATTCATCATCTTTACTTATCACTCTGCATTCAGGAAAAATTATTAAAAAATTATCATTCGTATTATTGGATTTAAATAAATTACGCTGATCTAGAGCAGCTGATCTGTCCATTGGTTGGTCGATTCGGCAGTTCTCTGCAAAGTTCTGGTTCGTCATTCCCAGGAGATGATTCCATAAAGCTCGTCCCTATTTGTTCTTGGCTGCGGAAGTGGCTGCAGTCATCAATAAATTAATTTAAAAAAACCATATGCAATTAATTAATTATTACTTTCATTATCTACAAATGTAAACAAAAATTAATGATGAACATAATTTGAAACAAAAATTATTCAGATTATAATGAATAATAAATATTCATAACATCAAATATTCATTAATTATTAAGAATTGTTTTTTCTGTTTCGATATAAATATACAATCCGTAGTAATTTTATGTTATCTATAATTACCTTTCAAAGTGAGTGAATTCACTCTTTGTTTTTCTAATGAATTCATCCTGACTGGAAACTCCGATTACCAAGAAAATATTGAAAAACAACAAGCAAGCACAAAACATGATGGCTTTCAGAATTAATGTAGACACACACCGGTCGAAGTCATTTCGATAAAAAAAAAATCTCATGTGAGCTCCAGCATCTCATTTCCACTTATAAATATACTTTTGAAAGGAAGCGGATAGCAGATTGGCGTCTGATAAAATTAATTAATTCATTAAATAGGTCACACAAATTTCGCGTATTCTTGGGGAATTTCGTTGATAAGCTCGTGGGTTTTCCATTATTAAGTCACAAGGGGAATTTTATAATAATTGATTATAGAGGAATTATTATTTCTGCAACTGGATTGAGCTTGATAACAATATATATCTCAACCATTAGTTTAAAACAATATCAATGTCAAACTATTCCTGGATCCAACAAATTGAATTGCATTGTATTTCACCTCACGATAAGATAGTCCTGAAAGTTAATGATTACGTCAATTAGCACAAACCGCTAATTTGCGTTGTGTATCAAGAGTGGAAGGATATCAATTTATCGCATAATAAAAAGTGAGATACGTAAAAATAAGTTGTATATTTAGTTTCAATTAATAAGCGAGGATGTATATACAAGATTGATGCGTTTAAATACAGAAAAATCTCATGACCTTTGGACGGATGTTCACCTGAGTGACTGAAAATCCCTCGAACTAAAATAAAATAACAGAATAGATATAATTAATTATTATTAAACTATGTAATAACGTAATGAAAATCATAAAAAATCTGTTAATTGTCTTTTACATAAGTTAATACTGTTATGTTTTACTGTTATGCAACTGAAACTTTATAATAATCAAAATGAGATGAGCCCTAGAATTTTTACAGATTATATTGCAAGTGTTTTTGAATGTAACGGATTAATTCAAAATCGATAGAAAAATATATCTCATACACTTCCAAAATAACAATACAGTCATTTAAATAATCGATATAACAAATGAGTTATTGTCGACATGAGTATCGTCATTAAAACAAATTATTCATTAAATATTATGATTGATATTCTCTTTTGAATAGATAATTGCGAGCCCATAAAAGCGCATGATGGATTCATGGATGGTAAATTAGGGGAGATTTTTCACCATTCGCCTGTCATTTTCATAAGCAGTAATGATTGAATGCAGCACATGGGACATATTCTCATGATTTTTCTCAATAAACTGTGAAGGATCGGAGTACTTGGACCTCCAAATATCGTAAAACTTGTCATCAGATATTCCCTCAACATCAGTAATATTGAATTCCTCTTTGAGAGCTAATTTCCACACATCCTGTTCAGGTACTGGTGTAGGTGCTGCTTTGTTTCCATAATAGCTGATTTCCTGATAAACATTTAAATGATATAAGACGTAGTCAATGGTGTGGAGTTTATCAGGCTCGGAAATACTGAAGGTGACTGACGTTGGTGAGCAGCATTTGTCTCCAGGTGGATAGAGAGCTCTGGTGAAGTAGTTACCAGGCTTGGCAATGCCCCAGAGAAGAGTCTGAAGTGGATACCCATGGAATGTTCCCCTTAACTCACCATCTCTGGTATCCGCTGGGTGAATATTGAATCCTGCTAAATGCTTCCCCAGGTAATAATCCTCTTTTTTCCAGTATTTACCACCAGTCACACACTTATCGTGAGTATTAAATGCTTCGATGATCTTCTTGAAGGCTCCTCTACTCAAAACATAGCCCGCCTGTGCAACATTGTAGGACTGACCCCAGAGGATGACTCCATGACCTAGATAATATCCTCGATTATGGTCCAAAGGGGCTAATAAGTATCTCAAATTTTCCGGTAGCACTATTGTGTCATCTTTAACGAATATAATCCATGATAGAGAATCTGATGATTTATTCCAGATGACGTTCATTGTGGAGCATAAAAAATGCCAAGAAGACGACAGCTTCGTTGGAAATTTGACAACAGGTATTGCTGCATCTTCTAAATCCTGACTGAAGTAATGGACTTCGTTACAACGTGGGCCCCAGGTTAATTTGATTGATTGGGCTAGCTTTAGTTTTTCAACAAAAACTACACATGTCACGTGGACTTTTGATCTGAGCCAGTGAGATTCTAATGCCTTTGAAGGTCTTTCATCAGCCTCAACAGGTCCATACCTTGCGTCCAAACTGATTCCATGGCTCTGTACGTTCTGATTCTTCAACCAAAATTTATAGGACAAGGGATAAATCTCTTCCTGATTTTCCAGCTGTGACTCTTCTTCCCGTTTCCACAGAGCAAATGTCTGGGCAGGTTTTTTACAGTTATTGGAGTTGTCATTATTAAGGATTACGTACAGGATAACCGATGTAAAACCGATGATAAATCCCACTGAAAACGTTAACTTGGATTTCACAAACCGAAGGTACATTGTCAAGCTTTCCTGATTCCTCGAATCACTGACATTTTCAAAGTTAACGAGATTTTACGCAACACCTAAAACATAGAAAAATCGTTAAGTTATTGATTCCTCTCATCATCTGATTTAATTGTTAAAGAACTCAGGAATTACCTATAATAAAATTCTCAAATTAATTGATTAGGTTATTGTTTTCGTGGAATTTTTATTTTAGCACGTTCCCAAGAAACAAGTAACGATGTCAAATATATTTTCACCCATGTCAGAAAATAATTAATATAACCTTGATTAATCCTGCCATATCACAATTATTCCCATAATGCAGGATCATAATGATCGATCCTTGAATGGATGATCGATCAAATCAAGGCCCGAATGGAGGGAATTTTTTCGCGATTGGCGACTTTACGCCCTCCTACTCCGCGGACAAATAACTCAAGTGGGGCCTTGGAGGGCGCCGAAAAATTTTTTAATTCTTTTTTTTCTAATTCGAAAAGTGCATGGAGATATTCCATATTTTTCAAATTTATAAAATTGCATTTATCTCGTTTCCTAGGGATCCTAGCGAGAAAATAATCGAATTTTTGTTCATATCTCCGCGAAACCCATTGATCCAACATATAGGGTATATGAGCAAATTTTTTTTTAATTTATAAAAATGCGATTACCTCATTTTTTATGGGTCCTATGGTTCACTGTCATTTTCTGCGTTCTAATAAAAACCAATTTCCTAACGCAGAAAATAATATTCACACCATCGGTTGGCAGGCAGACACCCAGCTTTACATGTGGCGCCTTCTCTTTCTCGGGGTGAGGTACTGCGATGCCCGTGGGGTCACTCAAACCCCCAGAACTGACCCTCCACTTTAGTCAATCCTCTCTGAATTTATCAACACAAACGACAAACGCATATAGACGATAGAAAGGATTGAAAGCCAAAGACGGAAAAGAACAATTTTACATAATTATTTGTTGTATCTTCTATCAGTCAATCATCATTAATCTTGTAAGGAGAATGTTCCATCACAAATAATATTCACGAACGAGGTAAATCGATATAATCGATATAATAGATAATAATTCCTCGCATTGATGCTACTGACGTTTTTACTTGAGTTATTCTGATGTTCTTAGGTTAGTAATAACTGACTAAATTTTTAACAGGATTTATCTTGATTATTGACTCATTCACGATCACTAGTTGTCGTAATAACGATTTGATGATATGATACGATAATTCAGTTGTCACATCAGCATGGAGTGCGAGGATGGAGTGATGAAAGAGGAGAATGGTGATAAATTGTCAGACTCCGAGGAAGTAACAGAACCGTTTTCTAGCACGGATAATAAAATGGAGAAAATGAAAGTGAATATGACAGGGCATGATAATGGGATAGAACCAATGGAGTGTGATAAAGCTTCTTTGGAAAGTGGAAGAATGAATGAGAATAAAAAAACTGAGACTACCTCCAAATCTTCAGAGTCTCCAGGACGATGGGAAGAATCTCTAGATGATATTCCAAACGAGAGTGAGGCTGTGATGTCCAATGGCAGTTTGCGTGATGCCAAAAATTCCGATGGTAAAGATAAGCATGAGAGCTCTGATAATGACACCGATAAGGTTGATAAAGCTGATAAGGGGAGTTCGGATACATCAGGGATCGTTGAGAGCAGTCAGCCCAGCTGCTCTACCTCCAAGTTCCACAAGTTGATGTCAAAAGTGAAGAAACGTCAGTACAGGAAGAAATCGAGTGATACTGAAGATGTCAAGGCGAAGGAGAAAAAACCGAGGGAGAATAATGATGAGTCCAATCCGAGTTCTCCTGCTGAACACGAGAAAACGAGAAATTCAGAGGATCAGAGGGAAGAGAGAATTCAATCTTCGAGTGATGAGAAGAGTTCTAATTCTAATAGTGATAATGAGGGTGGCGATTCCAGCGAGTGGACCACTGCGAGTGAGGATGAGCTCAATGGAGGCATTCCCAGGGTATTGCAGAAGGGTCCACCGAAGCCGAGGATGTTTATCGTACCAGAGGTGATAAATCGACAGATTGGTAATACTAGGCTCTTCGAGAGAAAATTTTACGGGTCTCTGCACGTGGTACAGCGGTTGGAATTGATGCAGAAGATGGAAGAACATGAAGTAAGTAATTTTTTTAAATTAATCAATTCTTTTTTTGTAATCATTCCTATGGAATTTTCAGCTGATTAATTTGGTTTTAATTTTCTTCTTTTAGGGCTGTGTAAACGCATTGAACTTTAATCGTGAAGGTAATTTGCTGGCCAGTGCCTCAGACGATTTACGAGTGGTAATTTGGGATTGGGCGATTGGTAGAAAGCGTCATACTTTTGAGACCGGTCACAAGAGCAATGTTTTCGAGTCGAAGTGGCTTCCACTGGATTTTGAGAATTACGTTGCAACGTGTGCACGTGATGGTCAAGTACGTCTTCTCGATATTCACACTGGGATGCACAGTAAATTGGCGTCACATCATGGACCCGCTCGACGACTGGGTGTTCACGCCGATCATCCTCACACTGTACTCTCGGTTGGGGATGACGCCAAGGTTTTGTGCATCGATATTCGAGGTGGCAAACCCATCAAGATGCTCACTGTCAAGGAAGGCCGATCCGACATGAATCTTTACAGCATTCACATTAATCCTCGAAATAGTCACGAATTCTGCGTTGGTGGACGCTCTCAGGCTGTTAAAATCTACGACAGACGAAAATTGGCACTTCCACTGCAGAGACTGTGTCCTGATAATTTGTCTGATAACACATGTGCTCATGTCACTTGCGCCATGTATAATTATAATGGAACTGAGATCATCGCCTCGTACAACGACGATGATATTTATCTTTTTGATGCTGTGGTACTACATCCATCCGGAGATTTCGCTCATAGGTGAATTCATTTCACCTATATTGGGGAAAATTAATCTCAAATCGAAAGAAGAAATTTTATTAGCCATTTTTCCAATTGTTTCAGGTACGAGGGGCATCGTAATAATGCTACTGTTAAAAGCGTCAATTTCTTCGGGCCAAAAAGTGAGTTTATCGTGTCAGGATCAGACTGTGGGAATATATTCTTTTGGGATAAAAACACTGAGGCCATTGTCCAGTGGTTTCCTGGAGATGAACAGGGTGTCGTCAATCGGCTAGAATCACATCCAAATGTACCGATTTTAGCAACTAGCGGGCTAGATCATGATGTGAAAATTTGGATACCTTCTTGTGAGCAAGCGCCGCAGATGAATAAATTAGAAGACGTAAGCATTGCTTCATATCATAGAAGTTTCGCTGATTTTAGATTATTGGAAGGTAATGAAAGATAATTTATGTTTATCAATCGAATTTATACGTTTCAGTGTGTCAAAACTAATTTGAGGAATCGAGCAGATGATATCACGAGAGAGCCTGACGCATTTGATGGGCAAATGCTTATGGTATTTTTACAACATATTCGTCAACATGAAGGTTTTAGAGTAAGTCCTCACGGTTTTGTTGTCAAATTTTTTAATCAAAGATAGAAAAAATATTGGATTATTCTCCAGGGGATCTTTGCAAGCCGATCCAGATTCGTAATGAGACCTTACGATGACAATTCCGATTCCTCGAGTGAGGCTGGTTCAGTCCACAGTGACAGTCCCTCAGAAGGAGCCAATGAAGGACCCCAGTGTGCACCGTCCTAAATCTTACTTCAGTCATCCCAGAACCCTTGAATCTTCTTCAATAATTCAGGAAAGGGGTTTATACCACTTGCATAGTCGAAATTTATCTCAAAAAATGAAACAAATTCTCGATCGGAAAATCTTTTCCCTCACGGAGTGGTAAAAACGGATGACTACCGATCATTACTTCGTATTTATTTCTGTAAATATCCTTCAAATAAATAGATTACCGGAAAAAAATGGATTTTCAATACTTTTCCATGAATTATTTGGACAAATTTTTCTAAAGTTTATAAACAAATGCAGAGGGGATGCATGTTTATGAAAAACTTTCCTCTTTAGAGGAATATTCGTCAAACATAAATTTTCAAATTTATCGAGAAACTTTGTACGAGACAATTCCAAGGCGTACAAAGTTTTTTAATAAATTTTATGAAATTCCTTTATTTCCAAGATATTCTTCATCCCTTTTCGCCACTCCACTAAGCTTAGTCATTGATTAATATCTCTAAAAAATTTTCTACTCGATTAAAAACAATAGTTCTATAAATGAAAGTGTAAAAAAAAGTGAGTAATAAAAATGCCATTAAGGGTATGACTACAGCTTCTGTCTTCAGAAGATCCCGGAATAAATCCAAGCAGTATGTGTTCCAATGGTTTCTACCTCCGATGATTTCTGGAGAAATATCAGTGAAGAATGTCACTGTGATGACTTCTGTATAAAGTACACTTGCCTCGAGAATGATTAACTGAGAATGTAAGAATCGTTTACATTTGGTAGCATATTAATGTAATTGATGGAAAGAATTGCGAAATTATGGGGGACTGAATCTCAAATGTATGCTGGCTGTGACGTGAATGGAAAGACTAGCCTGGAGAAATCCTGAAAAATGCGGAATATATCCTATCGATGTCCTATCCTTAATGAGAGGTCGAAGAGACAGATGTTTCATTTTTCCTATCCAGCCACGATGAAACAGTATCCAGTCTTTAATTAAGAATATCTCTAATTTTCCTTTTTTTCGGGAATTGTTTGTTGTAATTTTAGATTTACTGGCAAATAAAGGGTTGTTTTCAGCAAATATTGCAAAAAATCAAAAGAGTGATTCTAAAATTATTGAGTTAATGAATTAATTTATTATTGATATTAATAGGATATTAACAATGAAAGATTTCTTTCAAGGGAATTAAAAAATTCCAATGGAATGAGCTAAGCCTGCGTACATGTGTAATGTAATGGTCCCCATGAAGAGTGTGGTAGTAGCCTTGATGAGCAAAGACGACCAGGGTCCAGCTAGGAGTAATGAGATCAATAATTCCAAAATTAATGGCCTGTACACTGTGAGCAAGAGCATTCCAATTACAACAGGTACCAATCCTCTCTTCAAATCATGTCGTGACCACAACCACACGAGTGTTGCAGTTGTTATGTGTTGAACTAGAGAGATATTTGACTCCAGACTCTTCTGGATGTACTTCCAGTCGAATTCAGCACCTCGTGCGCCAACCCAGAGGAGGAGAAATCTTGTGAGAAGTACTTCAGCTCCAGCCCAGCCAATTCCTGCAGTCAGAACTTTGGCGTGTCCCTTCCCAGGAATTCCATTGAGGACTATCAAAATTCCTACGAGATCTGCCAGGTCTATCGAGTATTTTAAAAATTCCTGTATAACAGAATTTTATTTTATTCCACGCTTGAAAGGCATTTCGTTCGTCAGTATAAAACAAAATGGAAAACTTGCGTATTGGAATGATTATCGTAAATAAAATTGCAGCGGATTCAATAAATAATTATGAGAAATGAGTGGAGGGTACGGGAGTTTTTGATACTCACCCCAAAAAAATCGAAGCCTTCCTGTCCTACACTGTCAGCTGTAGGAAAAAATGTTGCTAAAGCCAGCATTTTTACTAATTGTGTAAATATGTAAATGCCTCCGGCTTGTATGCATTTCCAAAAGGCTCCGTACTCAGATCTACAATTGAAAAAAAAAAATGGATGAGGTTATTGACGATACATACAATATCTAATTGTCAATGGAAGGGCATTACTTGTAAATACTTACAGGCCAGAATATTTATATGTCAGATAATAGGGTACATAAACTAGTGCCACACAATTACCAAAATGGTACAACGTCATTTTTTATGTGATAATTTATCAATTTAATACGATCTCAGTTCCTCATAATCTCTACACTAATCGAGTTTTTCGATGAATCGAATTGATCGAGTGACAATCGAGTTTCCCTTGAATCGACACGTGATATCGATGTAAACCAGCCCTGAGGCGGGCTCCGCCAGTCTTTCAAACATTCCATCAGAGATTATCTCTGATTCCATAAATTAATGGGGGACTAAGGCCCATTAATGAGGCCTAGGGCGGAGTACAAGTGGCGATTATTATATCTCAACTGAATTCAATGAAATTCAGTAAAAAAATGAATAGTAAAAATTAATTTAAGTAAAAAAACGATTTCAGATTATTATTGTTAACGTCGCTGAATTATTTATTTAATGTCAAATAAATGGTGGACGCATGTGACTCACCATCGGTGAAATTTTTTTCATCCCTTCTTTCTGTCTCACGCCATCAATATAAAATAGTATCTTTCGGGTCGCAGGGGGCCCCCTCTGTTTTTTACTCATTCACCCCTTTTGGAAAAGGGTAACAGCACCCCTTTATTCGAAACAAAAAAAAAAACACGAAACAGCCACAGGAAAAATATTGTCCGTATTTACATTATCCTCACAATTATTTTCCCTTTTTTTATTATAAAATTCCGCAGATGTTTATCGAATGAGAGTTAAAAAATTGTAATTATAATTTTTATTTTTTAGAATGGGGGAGGAGGACTTGGGGGAATTTTAATTTTCGTTGCAGTGACGGAGAGGTGACAATAATTTTCCATACCTCGGGGGTTATTTATCCGGTTCTCACCCTTTTGATGCTGAAATTTATAATATTACTGCACTGGGTCTGACAGAGACAGATTTTTTTTAAGTTTCTCCATCTCTTTTTAACCACCTTGGGGGGTGGTGGAGTCTTCCAGGGATTGGACCAGTAGCTTCCGATTGGCTGATAGTTCTCCGAGGCCATTGCGTATTCACAGGTCCCAGTAGAAAGGGTAGTTCAGTTAACCGGGGACCCTTCAATCTGACACTTGAGTTATACATAAAAAAATAAATAAATAAATAAATTGATTAATTAAAAAAAAGAACATTGCATCTGCAAATTCAGCCGTTCAATTTTCTGGATTTCGATTTGAATTGTCTATTTAATTTCGGCATTTACGTTAACAATTTCACCGCTTAATGTTGCAATGATTAATTAATAATTTTTGTATTCTTTTCTCTTTTTTTATTAATATTGTTTATTAGCGGGGTTGTGAATAATTGTCGGGTCACGTCAGCAGTTGACAATTTCAGAATTTTGTAACGAATTATTAATAATTTTTTTGAGAAGCTGGTGATTTTCAAAAAGTTTTAAAAAAAAAAATTAGTTATTAATCGCATTAATCCGCAAAAATAAATACGTCATGAAAACACGCGGTACATTAAATTGCCATTTTAATTCCACTAAAATTCGTCGCTTGGTCGAAGTTGAAAAATCAAAAAATCGTTTTCCAAAAATCGGATTCGGTATTTCTGGATGAGGGGGTGTGGTTTGCAGTGAAGAAAATTTAGTTGACGTCGTATAAAATCCTTGGGAGTCTTGACGAGGCGTCGGTGGGAGGAGCCTATCTTCTCTTGCGCTTTGCATTTTTTAGAGTTGCGAGCAAGGGTTCAGTCGACGTCAAGCTCTTTACAATGTAAAATCACCAATTTCTCCTCAATTTTTTTTGCAATTTTCCGTACCTTCTGAACAATTTAGTACGATTTTTTAAATATTTTCGCGCGCCTTTGAAATCGCAAGACCGAAGATTTCAATACCGATTTCCGTAAAAAATCATTTTCCGCGAGTTCAATTGTGTAAATGATGTTTAATACAATTAAAGGAACACAATGGAGAAGTGAAGTGCAGGGGAATATAAAAAAATCGATGGATAATTACAATATCGGATATACTTGAGTTCCGTGAGTGATTTCCTATCTTACACCTACATTTCCCATAATTTTTCATTAATTTCCATTTTATTTTAATATTCGGTGGTTTATTATTTATAGGAATATTCAAATTGTTGGTGCCGGGGCAATTTTCATGAATATATAAATTAAAATTAGCGACTAGAGGTGGACGGTCTGACCACAACGCGACCGTCGGACACGTCGAAAAAAAAATTCTGAGAACCGGGTCTTTATTTGCGTTAATAAATAAACACTCGAAAATTTATAACAAAATTATACGCGGGATTGGAAAAGATTTGAGTCCAGGGATTTAATACTCATCCGAAAGATGAATTTTTTTTTTTAAAATGTCTGTATTACTTGCAAGAAATTTATACCACGAAAATTAACAACAAAATTATATTTTACTTTGAGAAATGAAAAACATCTACCAAGAAATTATGGATTAATCCCAAATTGCTGATAATTCATTCGTAATAAAAATTTGATTATTCGAGTCAAGTCTAGCTGTGTGAATTTAATGGAAATTTTTTTTTTTTAATCAAAAAGATTTCGATGTGAAAACTACTCGATTCAGCTCGAGAATTAATTATTTATAATTTTTTGAAGAAGTGCTGAATCTCTTGACTAAAATTTTTCTGTCAGAGTACGAGGTCCGCCATTTGTAAAAACTAGTTTACAGTAAATTTAATTTTCCACGGTTTTTAAAAGTTTTTAATGGATTATTTTCTCATTAATATTAATCTATTAATAGGTGATTGCGATGGAATTCCCAGAGTCAAAATTCTATTATAATAATTATATTATAAACGGAGAAAAAATTGACGGAAAATTATATGATGCATCCGTCGCGGGATGACGTGTCGTTTCTACTTCAGATCGACGTAATTTTTACTTGACGTTGCAAGTCAATTATTTTATTTATTTAAAATATCTGTGACAATATAATAAATTAAAAATTAAAGCAGAGTCTTAACAACTTTTCCAGATTTTTGTAAACAAAAATAATATTAACCCTCCCACTTCATTCTATTTCTAACAAATTGATTTATGTGACAAATGGCTTTATATTCGGTTGTTTATATAATTATTTACTGAATGCTCTTCAAACTTTTGGGAAAACAATAAATAAAAAATAATTTTTCTATCAATTTTGAATCGACGGGCTGAACAAAAGATTTTTTTTTCAATGTTGAATTATAATTTTTTGTTATGTGTTCTCAATTGTGATTTACGTTGTACTATTGTTGTAATGTATTTAGTCTCCCTCGTACACATGATTCTAAAAAATCGAGAATTTATTTTCCCACATCTGTGCTCAGTCGGCTTTTAAAAACATAAAAATACAGTTTCCCCTTTTGACTATCCCCTCGCTACCTCTTTTTTAACCCCTTTTTTCTACCCCTATCTACGAGAAAAATAATAGAGAAAAGCAATATCGATTTTTTTCATCAATATATATGTATTCTGTATTTTTTTCATCGACTATTCATTCATTGGACTAATGCGATTCTGTGACGTCAACTTTATATCGTGTAACGAAAAATTAAAAATATCGAGATACGCGGTAGCGTATCGGCCAAGTAAAAGTTTCGTCTCTAACCAACAAATAAAGCCGAGAGCTACGGTGTATCTATACGTGACACAACTACCCCTTTCATTAAAAATATATAAAAATATATTTTAAAATATTCTCTCTTTTCCTTGTTTCGCGCGTTTTTAAAGTCCAGAAAAAAAATCGCTTCTTATTTTTAAGTAATTTTGTAACAAATTAGTCCGGCATGCTTTCCCATTCCGCACTGAATATTCCAAAATTCCGGATTACTGAGCGATAATTACGAAGTTTTTTTTCCGCTGAGATGAATTACGATTTTGAAGATAATCCTGAAGATATCCCCCACTCACTCCGAATTCGTTCGACTTTATCGATAGACAATAGCGATCATGGTAACAGGAATATTTTTATATTGATTGACTATCGGAAGCTAAAAAATATTACTCAGTAATGAGAAATTACTTTCCGTCAGTATTACCGAGTACTTCGGGAAATTTCGGTTGTGTAACTGCAAAGGGCATCAGTTGGACAAGTAGAAAAACACTGGTAACAGCATCTTGATAGTACTTGACGTAATTACATGTCGCATACTTGTAAGAAATAGTACTTGAAATAAAATACTTGGATTCAATTGATTTTTTACTCCTAAAAATAATTTTCTCTCCCCTGACATCCGCTCGTTCTGGGTACAAATAGTTTGCTTACTGATCAGCAGTCAGTATTTTTGCATTATCGGTAATTAATAAAAAAATATTATTGCTGGAGTTGGTATTGCTTTTCAGGTGGAATAATATCAATCCCAATCGGTATGAGATTTCTACTATTTTTCATCATCCGTTCCCCGTCATACCTTCCCTCGATATTCCCACAAATCTCAAACCCCAACTCTTCACATTTCAACGCCTAGATGTCGTTACTCTCGTCGTACACCCACTAAATTTCTAGATTTTGAAAAATGTTTTCCAATACTTCATTCTGCAAAAAATGGTGTAATTTCCCTCATCCATTTTACAGTCACAGATTTTTATTGCAAAATAATAAACTAGGATAATCGAATTTTCCTCGAGACCAGTCTCCCTCCAATTTCTCGAATTTGACCGAAGATAATGATTTTTTCATAAAGACCTTTATTATAGCTCTCATCTTTTTCTATAAAAAATGTTCCTATCAAAAAGTCGCTACATACCTTCAATTCCCAGATATTTGGATTCATAAAATCTATTCGAATGTGCCCTTCCCCAAAATCGTGAATAAAATTTCTATACCGAATTAATAAAAAATTTATCCCACCCTTAAAAAAATTGATCTTCCGGACAACTTAAATAACGATTTTTTAGCTTCAATTGAGAAGGTCAATAGAATCTGTTAAAAATGTTTACCCAGCATTAAAGCCATCGGAATTGCGGGCTTTGCCTCAGCCTCGCTCCGTAGACCTTATCCGAGGGTCGAAATCCTCAAAGTAACGATATATTCCTCGTTCCCCACCCACTTGTATTTTTTTCCTCTCCCGTATCTCAATGTATCGCCTCAGTCCATCTTTTTCCATTCTCATATACGTTTTTTTCTTTTTTTTTCCATAGATGTATACTCCACGAC